AGCTGCCTCCTACACATCTCCTTCGGGGATGTGCCCACAACCCAGGTACATGCCCTTGACAGGAATCAAACCTGGGACCTTTCAGTCCGCAGGCCGACGCTCTATCCACTGAGCCAAACCGGTTTCAGCACTCTCTGAAATCAATTAAAAAATATATCAAACAACAACAACAACAAAGTTTCTACTTTTCTAAAAACTAGAGTTAACCCCGTGAACAGATTTCATGTCACCTTCCCCTTTCTCAGAGTTCTCATTGGAATTGCCAAGGGCAAGGGAATCGATTTCAGAACTGTTTCTTCCTGGGTATTAAAATAAAGACGAAAAGTTTCCCAACTTTTTAAAGTCTACATTTATGGCAGAATATAGGCTTCTGTCTTTGGGATTTGTTCCCAGAAATAGAGTTACGTTCTTGGCAAAGTCCAACACATTCTTGGCTATTCTGGTCACATGGGCTGCCCCGTGCCCGTCCTGCCCTTACCTCAGCAAGCGCATCCCAGCCGTGGCGCCCAGGTAAATGTGCGTGGAGCCCTGCAGGTGGGCGGGAATCTGCTCCTTGACTTTTTGGATGCAATCCTCGAAGGCTTTGGGGGCGTCTTGGGGGTTTTTCCCATAGCTGGAGATCCCCGAGCCTAAAGAGCAAGCAGTCAGCGCTTCTTAGCAACCTCAGGAACCGACAAGAGCAGTTTCCCTTTCAAATGAAAAACCAATCAGCTTTGGAAATGAATAGGTTTCAGTAGGTGGATGTGCTAGGTGCCGTGATGATTCAGCTCCCAAAATAGGAAGGAGGGAATTACAAGGGTGAAAAAATTAACCTGCTTAAAAAGGTTCTTGAATTGGTAAAGGGGTCAAATATACGGTAATGGAAGGAAACGACTTTGGGTGGTGAGCATGCAGTAGAGTCCACAGATATCAAACTATATTGTGATTGAAATTTATGTCACGTTAATAATCAATGCTACCTCAATAAATTCAATTTTAAAAATATACCCAGATCTCACCTTCTAGAGAGCCTCAGTCTACCCTTATAGCAGGGCGCCTTAACAAATGCACTTTTACAAAAAACGTTCTCGTTTTAGAAATTTCAAATGTAAATAAAAGTAGGGAGAATAATGCAGCGAACCCTGCACCACCTCCCAGCTCCAACAATGATCACCTCTTACTTCACCTGCACCCCCGCCCCCATTCTCTCCTCAGAAGCAAACCGCAGACATGGTAACTTTTCATCCTGCGAATATTTCAGTACGCATCACCAGAGACAAGAGTTCTTTTAAGGAGGCACAGCCACCACCCACTATTGTACCTGTAAGAACTTAAAGTCGCCCTTTAACACAGTCAAATATCTAGTTAAGGTTCACATTTGCTCTTTGGTCATATTTCCCTTTCCACCCCCCTCTCTTTCTCACTTTCTAGTTTATTTGAATTAGGGGGGAAATAAATCCCACCCATTGCAGTTGGCTGGTAGAGCTCTAAGTCTCTCTTAATCTCTTAATAGAGGCTGTGCGTCTCTATTTTTTCTTGGTAATTCGAAATTTTCCCCCATTCCCAATTTAATTTGGCTTGTAGAGTTCCCCACAGCCTAGAAGTTGCTGACCGAATCCCCATGGTTCATTTTTAACATGTTATTTGGTCCCGGTTTTTCCTAGAAATTGGTGACTGAATGCTGAGGCTTAATCAGATTCAGGCTTGAAACAAGAATTCTTGGGGATTAGTGCGTACTTCCAATAAGAGGCGCCAGCGTCTGGCTGTTTCTCTTTGGGTGCAGGCACCAATGGTCGCTGCTTAGACCTGTCGGCCCAGGAGAGCCTGTAAAATGGTGATATTTTCTCCCTAAAATGCTGACATGGGAGAAGAGCTATACCACCATTAACTATTTGGTTACCCTACAGTTCCGTTTGTCCAGAGAAGACAGGATACGAGCTTGATTCTGTTCCTTTATTTACCAGCTTAAAAATACAGACTGCCTCTCCAAGATCTTTCTAACTTCGTCAAAGGGGGATTTTTGTTTGTTTGTTTTGTATGTTAGGAACATATACTGGTAAAGGTATATTTGATGCATTTCAATTCATTGCAGTTATTCTTACTCAGCCTTCTTCAGGTGGCCCGGCGTCCTCTGAGATTTTCTTTGCTTTCTGACACGGGAAGATGTGTCAATGACCTTATATACTTCCTGCCCCAGATCTGGACTCAGCCATTTCTCCACGGAGCCCTGGTTGCTTTTATTGAGTAATGGTATTCAGCACCCAAAGTTTGGGAGCTACGGTGCTCACTGTAAATTTTCTCAGAGGACAGACCTCAAGAAAACTTTATTTCCAGAGAAAAATGTATCATGAATTCTTGTTGGTGCTTCTAATTCAGAACTACAGGTTTTTACTGAAATGCTTTGATTTTTCTACCTTTATCTTCTTTCTTCTACGCTACCAATCCTGTTTGCTAGCACTCCAACCTAACAACTCATTTGCTTTATCTCACAGTCCACACACAAGTCTCAGTGTGACAACACCGCACGACCACCAACTGTATCATCATTGAGAACAGTCTAAGGTTGTTTTAAAGTTCTTTCTGTCCTTGGGGAATATCCCACTGGGCATGGACAGTGTCCAGAAATAAAGCTTTCTTGAAATACATATTTTGTCTGCCTATTGGCTGTGGCTGCTTTCATGCTCACATGGTAGAGTTACATAGTTATGTCAGAAACCATGTGGCCAACAAGTAAAGAGTATTTAGCACCTAACTCTTTAGAGAAAATGTTTGCCAGTTTGACTTAGGCCCCTCCATCCAACTTCCTGTGCCCAAAATCAAATTCCTCCATCCCTGCAAGTCCCCAGCTCACTGCACAGGGAAGTGGTACCACCACCTGCAGTTACCAGCTCAGAACTGATGCTCGGGCACCATCAACCCGGTTGCCTCACATTGAATCTATCCTTAATTCTTGTTGGCTCTCCTTTCAAACAGCTCTCCAATCTGAGCCCACCTCACCCCGTCCCGCAGAGCCATGCCAGACCAGAGTTTAACCTCAGCACGGCTCGCATTGGGCTGGGTAACTCTGGTGGAGGCAGTCTTGTGCCTTGTGCGATGTTTAGCTGCATCTCTGTCCTCTACCACTAGGTGCCAGCACCATCCCCACCCCAGCTGGGACCATCGAAAATGTCCCCAAACGGTGGATGGAACAGGGGGAGGGACAAAATCCCCCTTGCCCAGAAGCACCTGTCCAGGCCAGGCCATCACAGCATCATGTCAACCGCACTGTTCTAATAGCCTTGGCTTCCCTGCTTCCAATCTTAGCCTATCACTACGTGTTCTGTATCAGCAGAGGGATCCGGTAAAATGGTAAGTCATAAGTTGGGAGGGTTCGGGGGGGTGGGGGGGTGGGTAAGAGATCCACCAAAGGACATGTATGCATGCATATAAGCATAACCGATGGACACAAGACACTGGGGGGTAGGGGAGGCCGGGGGGAGGTCAAGAGGAAAAAACAGGAGACACATGTAATACTCTTTGTAATACTTTAAGCAATAAAACAAAATTAAAAAAAAAAAGGGTAAGTTATAGCATGTTAGTTCCCTGATCAGAACCTCCTAGTGGCTTCCCAATATACTTTGCAGAAATTGCACTGGAGTTGAAGTCAGAGCCCTACTGTCTCTCAAGCCACGAGCTGGCCTGGCTACAGCTTTGGTCTCCTCTCTCCCTTCCTCGTCCTCACTCTGCTCCAGCCACTCTGGCCCCTTTGCTTTTCCTGGAAAATGCCGAGCAGAGGAAGGCCTTGGCCTCTTCTCTTGCTCAGCGTGTTCTTCCCTCAAACACTTGCATGGCTCACTCTCTTGTCCCACTTTTGTCTCTGCATAACTGTCATCTTTTTTGTTCTTCCCCGAAGATCATGTCTAAAAATAGCATGATCACTCTCTGTCCACCTGCCCGACTTGATTTCTCTTCGCAGAACTTCTCCCTGACATATCACATATCTGTTTATTATCTATCTCCTTCATTAGAATGTACGTTCTGTAACAGCAGAGCCTGTATATTTTGTTTGTTTTAGAATTCCAGTCTCAAGAAATGTTACTGGCAAATGGCAGGTACCCAGTAAACATTTATTAAATAAAAGAATGAACGAATGAATCAATCAATCAATGAGTTTTTCAAACCAGCATGCAACTCTACGGGAAGGGGGTCATTGGCTCCCAGCTGCAGCAAACAAACTATATTCTGCTAGCGCTGGCTTCCAGATGGGGACTGGTTAGCAGCCTTGCTAGGATGTCCACACTTGGACCATCCGAGCATGTCACCTGTTTCCATAAGGTCCCGTAAGCCTCCTGGAGGGAAAAGAAACCGGGCTCGTGGGCTACTGGGATTCTCACCCCCAAGAACAGAGTGAAAACTGTATTCCAATCTGGGGACGGAGGGGCGGGCAGACGACACAAAACTTACTCCAGGTGGGACAGCGGCATAAGACACACGTGTCTGAGCAAAGGGTGCTGTCAGCACTGTAGTGGCTGGTCCCTGGGGCAACTCTTGAGGGGTTTCCATAGAGGAGAAGGCTCCAGTGGCGTTTAAGGAGTTTTAAGCTCCGGTGTAAAGGGAAAACATGAGTGTCCCCGTGGGAGAAGGCAGCAGCAGGCATGAGTGCTGCCCACAGCGAAACAGAGGAGGGGTGTCAAGGAGGCAGTCTCCCCAAGAAGGGCTCCACACCAGCACGGGGACCAGCACCCAGGGAACTCCCGGAAAAGAGCAGCAACCTAGACTGACGCACACCAGGGCGCCCCTGAGAAAGAAATGTCCGAGGGCCCAGGCATTCGGGAAACACAGCTGGGCAAGCACGCATTCAACATCCCCTCGGATTGCCTAAGAGGGGGGAGTCCCGGGGAAATTTGCAATTGAGAAACCAGAAACCCAAATTATCCTTGGAGAAGCCACATGTCCTCGAGGGGGTGACACTTAACCAGACTTCAGCTCTGTGATTAAGCTTCCTTTGTGGTCCCTTGGTCGTTCAGGGTATATATGGATCACCGAGGCTGCCGCGATCAAAGGAGGGAAGATGCATTTATGGAGATGGTGTGGGCTCCGTGACCCTGCTCCCCCCCTAGATCCCGCCCTGGGTGGGCCAAGGCCCCCACCCCTGAGAGACTGCCCGTGTTCCTTCCCATGACAGCCTCACGTCTCCCTACAAGTCGGAGGGACGTCAGGGCTCACTTGGCTACCTTGCTTTCCCGGGTCGAACAGACCTTATAACTGGCACAGAAAACCTGAAGTGTGATGCCCCGTGAACAGTAATAGCTAACACGGTTTGAGTGCTTCGTGTATGCCAGGCGTTTGCTACCTGCTTGACATATATTATGGCATTTCATCTTCAAATCTTTCCTATGGGGAGGCTTTACTATTGTTGTGCTTTGTATTTGAGAGATGAGGGGGTCAAGATGCAGAGAGGTTCGATACCTTTGCAGAGCTCACACAGCGGGATGAGGGGAAGTCTTAATCACTATTCTCCACTCTCCTCTCTTCTTGAAATGGGTGGTCTCTCTTTTCTAAACAAGCACCCTGGGCCCTCTTTCCCGCCCGGAGGGGAGAGCTGCTCAGACATCAGGAGAGCAGAGATGGGGTTTCTGGCTCAGGTCGGAGCAAGGCTACTGCTGCCTGTGCCATGTGGACAAGCAGCACCCAGAAAACATCCGACTTTCTTGTTGTAATGAGCCCAGAGAGGGGCCACGCAGACGCCCTTCCAATAAAGACTTACCATCCCAGCCGCCAGCAACTTCAGGGTTTGCCTCATCCGTAGAGAGCTGCCTTGCTCTTTCCAGGGTGGCAACATCCAAAGACTGGAGGTGACAGGGTATGGTACCCAGCCATTCCAGGCCATTTCAGCCCAAAAAAAACTACGATCGGCTGAAGCTTTGCCAGGCCTGCGTTGCACTTTATCGCTCTTCTGTCTAATCCTTCTCCCTACCCCCTCCTTCAACAGGTGGGGATCTCCAGTAACTACCCGGTCTCCCTAACTTAAACTTAACTGTGACACCTATGCATCATGGTAGACGAGGCCAGGATGCTCACCACAGCAGGGCAAGTGATCAGAATTCGCCCTGGTCTTCAAAAGAAGACTGTTAGGAAAGGCTAACTCTGCCTCTCCACTTTTTCTTTTTTAAAAAATATTCTTATTGATTTCAGAGAGGAAGGGAGGGGAGAGAGAGATAGAAACATCAATGATAAGAGAGAATCATCCATCGGCTGCCTCCTGCATACCCTGCAATGGAAATTGAGCCCGCAACCTGGGCATGTGCCCTGACCAGGAATAGGCCTGGTTTGTAGGTTGATGCTCAACCACTGAGCAATGCTGTCCAGGCTGCCTCGCAACTTTTTCAATGCCATGACCCCCAAGACATTCAAATACTTGAGCAGCTCATTGAGAGAAATAAAGGGCCGGAAGGACTGATCTGGAGTCTCTAACCTATGAGTGTATCTATAACGCGGACAGGACACACTGGTTGGGAAGCTCTAGCCACCTCAAGATCAGAGTGCGCTAAAGTGACTGGTTTTTAAAGAGGCTTACACAGACGCACGCTCACAAACTGGGCTTGACTATGCAGACTAAAGATTTCATTGTTTAAGGCAAAATTATAAAATGTCTGATAGAAGAATATCTTTAGGACTACAGGATAGGAAAGAATTTCTTAAAATATCCCAAAGAGAAAGCCATAAAGGAGAAGATTGATAAATGCACCTCCATAAAAATGAAGAATTTCCATTCATCAAAAGACATCATGAAGAAACTAAAAGGACAAACCATAACCTGTGAGATGATATTAGTAACAACAGAATAACAGCAGAAAAGCATTCATATTCAGGATATGAAAGATGAGCAACAGCCCTAGCCGGTTTGGCTCAGTGGATAGAGCATTAGCCTGCGGACTGAAGGGTCCCAGGTTCGATTCCGGTCAAGGGCACATGCCTGGGTTGCTGGCTCAGTCCAACATGCAGGAGGCAGCCAATCAATGATTCCCTCTCATCATTGATGTTTCTCTCTCTCTCTTCCTCTCCCTTCCTTTCTGAAATCAATAAAAATATTTTTTTTAAAAAATGAGCAAAAGACATGAACAGGCATTTCACAGAAAACAGAAGTGGTCAGAAATATCTAAGAAGATACTCACCCTTATTAATAACCAGAGAAATACAAATGTCCGTCAACAGGGAAAATGATGGAATGCTGCTACTCATAGCAACAGAGATGAACCTTAAAACCCGGTGTTAGTGAACAAAGCAAATTACAGAGGAATAAATGTTTGATGCTATTTAACTAAATATGTGTTTGATTCCATTTTTCAAAAGCAGGAAAAACCAAATACATTAGGACAAAAGTATGTAGAAGAACAAGGGAACGGTTACTATAAAGTTCAGGCTACATTGGGGGAGGCAGGGAGTTGTGTGGAGGGTCATTAAAGATACTAATAACAATGTGCTGTTTCGGGGTGGCAGCTCATGGGCCAAATCAAAGCCATCATCTTTTTTTTTTTGTACAGCCTGTAAGATAAAATAGTACTTACTTTTTTTTTCTTTTTTTTTAAAGAATAGCTTATTGATTTTGAGAGAGAGAGGAAGGGAGAAGAGAGAAACATCGATGTGAGAGCACAACATCCATCGGCTGCCTCTCGCCCACCTCCCACTGGGGATTGAGCCCGCAACCTGGGCATGTGCCCTGACCGGGAATTGAACCAGAAACTTCCCGGTGCACAGAACAACATCAAACTGAGCCACACGGGTCAGGGCAGTTTTTACATTTTAAAATGGTATCTTGTGACTTGTGAGAAGTTCAGGGTCCATCCCTAAAGCTTTACTGGGACAGAGCCATGCCTGCTTGTTTCTGTGTTGTCCATCTCCCTCCACAACCCTCCCCGCACCCCATACACCTGCTCGGAGACAACTTGTCTCCCGTGTTCCTGCATGTTTTATGAGCACAGACACTGATTGCCTTTGTTCTGGATTATTTTTCAAGGATGTTTGCAGAGCGAACGGGCTCAGAAGACAGAGGAAAGTTGCACCCCAGAGCCAAAGGCAGGCACGCTCAGTGCCCTTTATAAATGTTTCAGATTCCCTAACCTCAGGTTTCTCTTCTGTAATCCAACCCACTGTGTGAGCAGATCCTGTCTGGCCCTCTTTGCATCATCCTCAGAGAACCAGCAGATGAAAAGGAGCTGATACTCTGGCTGCTGCTATTGCTGCGAATAACAAACTGCCCTTTATCTGTGACCCAGGAAGCTTGCGTCTCCCACCAGCATCCATGAAAGAGCATCAAGTAACGCCTCGGACCACTCGCAGCTCTTGACATGCCCCCCAAACCTGTGTGGGTTTTGTTGTTGTTGTTCCACTTATTTATTTAAAAAATTCTTTATTGTTGAAAGTATTACATATGTCCTCTTCCCCCTCCCCCTCATTGACCCCCTCCAGCCCACTCCCACCCCTTGCCTTCGCCACCCTATTGGGTTATGCATACATGCATGTAAGGTCTTTGCAGACCTCTGTTTTACAGATGAGAAAACGGTGGCCCAGAGAAGGGCGGTGACTGACACAAGCTCACTGTTACTGATGAGGAGCAGCACTAGCATGAGCTCTCATCGTTTCCTGGCACCCAGTCCAGGCAGCTTCTCAGGACCCCTCCCGGCCTTCAAGGACACAGGACTCTCCCTTGGCCTCCCTCTGGGCCTCCCAGACCCACTCTGGGCCTCACCTTTCACACTGCATTTGCAGGTTTGGCTGACCACGCCGGTATTATTCTCCTTCTCCGCTGGCCACTGATACACGTAGACTGTGGTTCTGGAAGACCCGGCATCGAGCACGATTCCATACTGAAGAACAGCGGGGGAAAGGGGTCAGAATGGGCTGGGCTTCTCCGAAAACTCCTTTCCTCAGTGGGCCCCCCCGAACACTCTCAATCCACACTGCTTCATGTAGGTAAGGGCTGAATGAGAAGAAAAAAACTATTTGCTCCAAACCAATGCTGTCTCCTGGGACTGTGGGGGGAGAAGGGGCAGAGAGAGGTAGGGCTAATGTTCTAGGGCACGGTACTCAGCCGTGGCCACACATTAGAATCACTTGGGGAGCTTTGGGAACTCCCAATGCCAAAGCCGTGCCCCACAGCCATTCAGTCAGAATCTCTGCAGTCCTTAAAGCTACCTGGGTGACTGATTCCTTATGCGGGCAAGGCTGAAGCGTAGTGCTCCAAAGACCCTGGATACAAAGACAGGCCTGTGAGTCCCCTTCATCCAGACCTCTGAGGTCGGGGACAGAGCCACCAGGGGCTCAGGAGGGAAATGAATAGTCAGTCACCTCCTGCCCTCTACTCTCCAAACTTGCAGGCCTGTCATCCTGGAATAAACAACCAAAGGGAAACTATAGGTGGATGTGTGCACAAGGGAGACACATTACTATCTGAATCAGCCCTCAGAATTAAAGTATTCATATTTTTTTCTATCTTAGACGATATTTCTATTGATATTTAGAGAGAGAGGAAAGGAGAAAGAGAAACATCGATATGAAAGCAGAACACCCATCGGCTGCTTCTTGCAGGCCCCCTACTGCGAATTGAGCCTACAACCTGGACATGTGCGCTGACCGGGAACCGAACCAGCAACCTTTTGGTGCAAGGGATGACACCCAACCTACTGAGCCACACCGGCCAGGGCTAGACATGTGCCTTTAAAACAACCCAGGAACATATTGTACATAGTCTTTCCCAATGCTTTTTTCTTACTTAAAATGATATGAACATTTCTCCCTGCCAATATAGCCATTTTCAGTACATTCCGCACATCCACTGTGAGATTTACAGTAATTTATTGAACGGATTCCAGACATGTAGGAGGTTTCCAACTTTCTACTACACAAATTTTTGCTTCATTTGAAATGGAACCAAATAATAAAAAAAATGCTGCCCCGGCTCGTGACTCCCAGCTTCTCTGTGACATGAGTTAGAACATCCTGTGTTCACTGGTATTTGAACTTGGACAGCCCTTCAGTCTGATAAATGTTGGTCAGGATCCTGACCTGACACCTTCCACGGCGAATAAGGGAGGCATTGTTCACCACCCGTCCAGAGTCCCGGGCAGAGGCTCGGCGAGAGATTAAAGTGCTGGTCGAAACCCGAAGGCAGGAGGGAAAGCAGGCATTCGGGAGGTCTGAGCTCCACATTATGCTTGCTTTCTCTCCCCACCCCCGCCCCCCACTGTGGAGCTGATCAGCACCCCAGTACCGGCCCTTCCACGCCTGGTGCTCCCCGTGAAATGGAGAGAGAGAATAAGGGGACAATGACTCCCTCCAGGGGGTACCTGCCTTTCCCCAAATCTCTGTTCCAACCCTTCACAAAGCAAGCGGTTCACTGTGTATGAAGCCCGGGACCGCTGGGCCTGGGTCAGAGAGAAGGAAGAACATCCCTTCTCATATGGAATCAGCTGGAATCCAGTTCTCAGGGGGTGGGGAGCCAGAGACTCCACTTGGTGAGCCTGGAGAGATGGCAGCCCCCGGGGCACCTGCTGATGCAGGGACAGGGGTCAGCCTTGAGGCCCAGCACGACTGCTAGTATCACCCCACCGCCCCCACCGTGGTTCACTGACATTTTCAAAAGTGGGAAAATGGGTCTTTGACCAGTTTTCAGAGCTCATTTGCTTTGATCAGTGGAACTCAATGTGGTTCCAGGGAGGCGGGAGAGGGAATGCATTTCATTCAGTTCAGCCAGGTGGGTGACGTTGGAATGAGAAAGAGTAAGGAATCCGCTGTCTAATGTAGCTTCAGAGAGAAACAGGGCTGAAATGTGGGTTAACCCACAGTGAGCAGTCTTCCTCATGGACCCCGTGGTCCAAAATGTAAGGACTGTGTGAGCTTCTGGCCAAAGCAAAAGCAGAGGTCATGAGTTCAGCTTTCTCAGATTGCTTTATTATTAGTAGCAGTCGTATTACTATGCCATCATCATTACTGTTACTGTAAGAGAATAATAGTGGTAGTAAGTATTTATTTAGTACTTATCATATGCCAGGCACTGCACCAAGTGCTTTCATATGACTGCATTCATAATGCAGGTGTTTTCATCATCCCCATTAAACAGAAGGGGAAACCAGGGCTCACAGGGTAACTTGCCCAAGGTCACAGAGCTGGGAACAAGCCTGGGTCTCATAGACTCTCAAACCTGTACTCCTAGTCCCCACGCTTTCATCGAGTTCCCAGGAAACCGAGTCTAGCAGGTGCCTGTTTAGTCCATAGGTCCCTGAGGCGACCTGGCAGACTGACTGTTCAGACAAAAAGTCCCTGTAGGCAAACTCCTGGCTAAGTGGGATGCAGGTCTGGCTGGAGAGGAGGTGGTCCAAGTTGGACAATGAGCCCAGGCTTTCTGGGAAGGAAGAAACCCACGATCCATCCTTTACTCTCCAAGGGGCAGAGCAGGTGGGCCACAGGCACCAGAGATGCAGGCTGCGGGTCCCAGCTTGATGGGGGTTAGAAGGAATGGTTTCAACGCAGAGGGGCTCAGTGGCTGTGCTTCTGTAATCCAACCCACTGTGCGAGCAGATCCTGTCTGGCCCTCTTTGCATCATCCTCAGAGAACCAGCAGATGAAAAGGAGCTGATACTCTGGCTGCTGCTATTGCTGCGAATAACAAACTGCCCTTTATCTGTGACCCAGGAAGCTTGCGTCTCCCACCAGCATCCATGAAAGAGCGCCAGGTAACGCCTCGGACCACTCCCAGCTCTTGACATGCCCCCCAGACCTGTGTGGGTTTTGTTGTTATTGTTCCACTTATTTATTTATTTAAAAAATTCTCAAACTTCTCCAAGCAAGGGAGAGTGGCCCAACATGTCACAGCAGAAAAGCCGCGCCCTGGAAACCCTAAGACTGTGCGGCCCCTCCCTCTCCAACAGTGACATCATGCGGCGGCAGGGGCGAGGCCTGGGGTATTGATCAACGGGGCTGAGCAACTCCAGCTCTTCCGGACAGTGGCTGATGGGAGGTGGGGATGTGAAGGCTCAGGAGGAAGATCCTGGACTTGATACTAAAGCCAGCGGGGGTTGAGTGAAAGGAACAGTGACGTCATCATGTTTACACTCCGAGCTGGTAGAGCAGGTCAGACCAGTAGCAGTGAGAAGGGGACTGGGGGACATTTCGACCCTTAACTAAGTTTTACAAGTTCTGCTCTTAAACTCAGGCAAATCAAGGTTAGGAAAGCCCTGGTTAGATTGAATTGCCAGACACCATGACCTTTCATGAGGGTCTTGAGGAGCATCCCATACCTCCCTCCCCCTTCCCCCCCCCCCCCTCCAGACCACAGTGGAGCTGGCCCCTCCTTTGTGCCAGGTCTGCACAAAGGAAAAGGGGGCTCCAGGTATGACAACATAAACATGATAATGAAAACGCCCTCATATTCAGTCAACCCTCCCCCAACATCCCCCTTCTCCCCGCCAATCTCCCCCCCCCAGCACACACAGTGAGAGGAAAGATCGCTGGCGCCCTGAGAAAAGCTGCATGAGGACGTTCCCTTCCGGGCCTGTCCTCCTCCTCCAGGCTCAGCTGGCCCAGAACGTGTGTCTTTTCTCACGTTAATGGGCCCGGTGAGGCAGAAGAGGCCTTCTGAGCCAATATCCCAATGTTACACAACTTCCTGCCCCTGACAACTGCGCCTGGGCCTGAAGCAAGACTCTGCAGAGATTAAAAAGCCCCTGTTTGAGCCCTGGCCGGGTGGCTCAGTTGGTTAGAACATCTTCCCGATACGCCAAGGTTTTGGGTCCAATCCCCAGTCAGGGCACATACAAGAATCAACCAATGGATGCATGAATAAGTGGGACAATGAACTAATGTTTCTCTCTCTGTCTCTCAAAACAACAGATTAAAAAAATTGTTTTTGCCCTAACCGGTTTGGCTCAGTGGGTAGAGCATCGGCCTGCGGACTGAAGGGTCCCAGGTTCGATTCCGGTCAAGGGCATGTACCTTGGTTGTGGGCACATCCCCAGTAGGGGGTGTGCAGGAGGCAGCTGATCAATGTTTCTAACTCTGTATCCCTCTCTCTTCCTCTCTGTAAAAAATCAATAAAATATATTTTTTAAAAAGATAAATAAAAAAATAAAAAATAAAAAAAATTGTTCCTAAAAAAAGCCCCTCTTTGAACTGTGTGCTAATCGGTAAGGGTGTGTCTTCCCATCTTCCCAAACCCTTGCATGAGGCCAATGCTCTACTCTTTCCTTCCTGCTATACCAGTCCTGCTATGTTCCCTCCATGTAACTGCCCTTTCTGTTCTTCTATTTCCTCCTCTGCAAAGGGGGGTAATAATTACTGTATCCACATGGAACAGTCACGGAGGTTCCCGCCCACGGTTCCTCCGACCTTAGCACCGTGATGGCCAACCATGCGCTTTCTACCTGCCTGCAGACACTCCCTCTATGGCCTGAGCCAACCCGAGCGCATAATGTGCCAGAAATACTAGAGTTAACGTTCCCCAGGGAGCAGTCTCTCAACCGATGAGTGATGGGTGTTGGTGTGCAAATACGCCCAAGAGAGGGATAGCTGGGAGGCAGGTGTTCCGTATGCCCCTCCCCCTCTGTAGAGGATAACCCTGCAATGGGTTCTGCACTGACTTCCAGGCATCCCCAGCAGGACTGAGCCCCAGGCGCCCAAGGGGTAACCTGCTGGGTCCCAGGCCCTCCAGTGGCTGCCTTCCTCCCGTCTCACTTCCCCAGCCCCTCCTGGGCCATCTCAGATGACCTGCTTACACTCAGATCTTAGGTTAGGGGGATCCACCCAAGACAGTAACATTTAACACGGGTGGCCCTCTCCTTCCATGGTGCCTCCGTAAGCCTCGGGCTCCACTTTTCAGTTCACTCTCCCAGTCTTCTAACTCCGCATGTCCCTCAGGCTGAACAGAGGACGTGCCTCTTACCTCCCAGAATGAGTGGAAGCCAGCAGCCGGCAACCACCTTAACTCCTGCCCACGGTCCCTCAGACCTTAGCACCGTGATGGCCAACCGTGCGCTTTCTACCTGCCTGCAGACACTCTCTCTAGTGGCCTGAGCCAACCCGAGCGCATAATGTGCCAGAAATACTAGAGTTAACGTTCCCCAGGGAGCAGTCTCTCAACCGATGAGTGATGGGTGTTGGTGTGCAAATACGCCCAAGAGAGGGATAGCTGGGAGGCAGGTGTTCCGTATGCCCCTCCCCCTCTGTAGAGGATAACCCTGCAATGGGTTCTGCACTGACTTCCAGGCATCCCCAGCAGGACTGAGCCCCAGGCGCCCAAGGGGTAACCTGCTGGGTCCCAGGCCCTCCAGTGGCTGCTTTCCTCCTGTCTCACTTCCCCAGCCCCTCCCTGAGCTTCCTGGGCCATCCTCAGATGACCTGCTTACACTCAGATCTTAGGTTAGGGGGATCCACCCAAGACAGTAACATTTAACACGGGTGGCCCTCTCCTTCCATGGTGCCTCCGTAAGCCTCGGGCTCCACTTTTCAGTTCACTCTCCCA